TATACATTCTTATCTCTAGCTTAGAAATCAAGGTTTATAGCCAGAGCTCAACAGCACCCAGTATGATGAGAAAAACAGTACTGATGAGAAATGCAAAGTGTAGCTTTCATTTAAATTTAATTGAGATCATAATTTGTTAAATCACTTCTGAGAATAACTCATTTTAGGCCATGTTTAAAATTTAAATTATCCATAAAGAGAAATGCAATTCCCAATATGTCAAAGGAACCAATGTTCCTGTTTGATTTCCCATTGATTCCATCATCACTGAGGCCGTAACCAAATATTCTCGAGTTGCACTCTCAGTACTGCATCCAATAGCTGCATGTGAATATTTCAATTTCAATTTAATTAAAATTCAATAAAGGAACAACATTAGCTTTGTATAACTATTTTCCCATGCTTACTAGTCCCGTGTGGCTAGTGGATACTATGTTAGAAAGAGATCAGGCAGAATATTTCATCATCACAAATAGTTTTATCAGATAGCACTGGGTTGGTGATCAGAAGATGAAGGCTTTCAATGTTAGAACAACAACAACAAAAATCAAACCATCTCAATTAGAGTTTTAAACAGTATGATTAATATTCATACCCATAGAGAATACAAATCAGGATTTAACATTTTATTTTTTACTTTGGAAGGTGGTTATCAAAAGCCAATTGTGAAGAAGAATGATTTGAGGAGTTTTAGTAAATAGTTATTACTCAGAGAATGATTCTGTAGGACTGGTCTAGGAATGCGCATTCAAAACACATCCTAGACAATGCTGCCACAGGTAGTTCTTAAACTACATTTTGAGGAACACTATGATTAATGCATCAGATATTCCAATTGATGCTATTAGCTGATGAATAAATAAAGAAAATGTGGTACATATACACAATGGAATACTATTCACTCACAAGAATAAAATCCTGTCATTTCCAACAACATGGATAGAATTAAAGATTGTTCTTTATGTTAAGTATAGTCAGGCACAGAAAGGGAAGTACTGCATAATCTCACTCTTATGTGGAATCTAAAATAGTTGATCTAATTGAAGTCTAGAATAGAATGGTGATTACCAAAACCTAGAAGAGCAGAGGGAAGGACAGGAAGGGTAGAGGTTGATCAGTGTGTGCTAAGTTACAATTAGGGGTAAAGAAGTTCAGTGTGCTATTACATAACCGTGTGACTAATGCTAACAATTACGTACTGCATATCTAAAATATCTGGAAGAAAGTGTTTTGAAGGAGCGTTCACCATGAAAATCCAGAAATGATAAATGAGCAAGACACGGTGGATAAACCTGTAATTCCAGCACTCGGTAGGCTGACCCAGGAGAATAATGAATCACAAATCACTTGGGACTACATAGCAAGTTGCAACCTGTTAGAAATGATCAATGTTTGTGGATATAGATATATTTTACCTCAATTGAACAATATACAACATATGTATATGTTAACATCATATAGTACCCCACTAGTAGGTAACTTTTTTTTGTCTTTTAGTGCTGGTTTAAAAATAACTTTAAAGGAGACATGGCTCAGCAGTTAAGAGCACTGACTGCTCTTGCAGAGAACCCAGGTTCAGATCCCAGCACCCACTTGTCAGTTAGCAACCATCCATAACTCCAGTTCCAGCGGATCCAATGCCCTCTTTTGACCTCCTCAGGCATCGTATGACATGGATGCTCTTACATACATGCAGGCAATATACTCAAACACATAAAATAAAATAAAAAATAAAGAAAATATTTTTTAAATTAAATTTTAAAACTCATAAAACCATGAGAAAATTCCAATTGTCATCTTATATATACCAGTATATTTTCTTATATGTTTAAGTACTAGTGTGTGTACATACGCAAAACCTTTTCTGAACAAAGAACTGTAAAGTGCTCCCCAAAGGCAAAGAAACTTTCAAGGTGGAGTGAGTATGTGCAAAGATGAGTATAGAGGGGAAAACTTCAAGTAAATATTTGCACTAGAAACAAATTTTTCAAGTAGACTACTCCAGAATATCTGTGTGAAACAGAAGGATCGATCCTTCCAGCTTCTGGAACTCTTGGGCTCTGAAATGCTTCTGAAACTTGAGCTAGCAGCTGTAGACAACTTGGTAGAGCTATAGACAACCTAACATGGTATGTCAATGGTTTTGTGCAAGATATTAGGCTTATGCTAAGAGATTGCTAAAATATGCCTAATGACTTCAAGAACTCAATCTACCAGGGGAAAATAAAGCAAAGACAAGTATTATAATACAGTAACGGGTGTGATTTTGAACTGAACCTTCAATGTCGAGTGATTCTAAGGTTGCTGGGAATGGTACTTTAAATGTAGAGAAGAGCATGGAAGAAAGCACAAGAGCTTAAATTTCAAGGTCTATCTAGTGATCCAGATCTAACCTAGTTCATAAATAAATGGGATATAGATTTATATAAAGTGTTAGATCAGGATGTAGCATTCTGGGCGGCTGGGAAATGACTAAGAATCGTACTAAATATCTGTTTGGTTTAATAAAAATCTTTTAGAAAAAAATTTAGGAGCGAAGTAATAGTAAAAGATCTGCATTTAGAAAAAGCACTGTAGTAGCAAGGCATAAAAGGTAGTGGGTAGGGAGTGGATGCTGAGAAGATGTGCCATGATTGGTCACTTGGCTGCATGGAAGAAAAATTACATTCTAGTTGGCAATGTCTCTTGTATCAAAAAGCTACATATCAAGGGAGATGCAACAGAATAGTAAAGATTTTTTTTAAAACAAAGCTGCAAATCTTAAGAAAGAACATGAGTGGTGGCAATATTTAGAAACTGCTGGGAGTGCAGTGATCCTTTGTGACTCTGTCAATAGAGAGTATCCGTGATGGGGATCAGAAAGAAAGTAAGCACAAAATCTTCAATGGTCTGGTGAGCAGATGGCTCTGCACAGCCTAGGCCTTCTGAAGTCATGGACAATGATATTTCAGCTTCTGACTGCACACTAGTACACAAATAGCTTCTTCAATGAAGTACACTTACCCCCCCCACACACACACACAGACCTGTTATACAGTGGCTAAGAACATGGGCTTTGGCATAAAATTTTCTGGGATCAAATCTTAATGTTGAGGAGGGTACAGTAGTATCTAACTGATAATTCCTGTACTTGACAGGTGGAGGCAGGAGGATTTCAAGTTGTAGGCCAGCCTGCGTGAAAAAACAAGTTTAGGGCCAGATGGAGTTATACAGTGAGAACGTGTCTTAAACAACAGCAAAAAAAAAAAAACCAAAAAACCTCAATTAAGATGGCTTGTAATTGAACATGATAGGCAAGTTACTTAAAAGTTTGTGCCTCCGTTTTTTAACTTTTTAAATGGAAATATTACCACCTACCTCATGGAAGTACTATGAAGGCTGATGACCCCACATATGTAAGGTATTCGTTAAAAAATGGCCTTGTACAGAGTAAGCATAAAATAACTGTTTGCTCTTGTTGTTGTGCATGTATGGGTGGGGAACAAATACGCAACTGTGATATGCTCAGTAATCTCTCAAGACATCAGTGCTGTGTCTACTGGATGCCATCATTATGGTTTAGTAGCCCAAGAAGCATCTGTAGTATGCTGTTCTGCATAGACAGCATGCCTTGATTATGATTATTTTTTACATTTATTGTTTTATTTTCTGTGGTGGATAGAAGTATGCCATGGCACATATGTGCAGATCAGAGGACAACTTACAGAAGTAAGGTTCTCTTCTTCCACAATGTTGGTTTCAGGGATCAAATTCAGAGTCCCAGGATTTGTGACAAGTGCATTTACTTGCTAAGCCATCTTTACTGTCCTTAATTACTATTCTTTTTTCTCTCTCTCTCCTTTTTTTTTTTTTTTGGTCTTTTTGAGACAGGGTCTCCCTGTAGCTCCAGCTAGCCTGGAACTTGCTATGTAGACCAGGCTGTCATTGAACTCACAGAGATCCTCTGGCCTCTGCCTCCCAAGTGCTGAGATTAAAGGCGTGCACCACCACACCTGGCATTAATTACTATTCTTAATGAGTATATTAAATTATTTTTTAAAGATGTAAAGAAGTATTCTTAGTGATTTCTGTACATAAGTTATTGCAAGCAGGCTCTAACACAGAACTGCCTAGTGTATACCAACCATTATATTCCCATCCATTAGATCCGCCCCTTGTGCCTCTAAATCACACATGCAGGTGTACATAAGCAATCCACCACACAACTCAACTTCATATCACTAACTAACCAGAGCTCAGAAATCTACTCTTTAGTCTTCCATGGTCTTAGACACTTCAGAGAAGTGATCATGGTAGAGCTGAAAAAAAAATTTTTTTGCCCTTCACCAATAAGAAAATGTTGATTTTTTTAAAAAGCCCCAATGAGTTCTTTTTCATTAAAATTCAATGGGCTTGTTTAAAGAAAAAGGAACAAAATATGGGGGGTAGGGTTATTATTCAGAGCTTTTAACTGCACAAGAAATTTGCCATTGAAAACCAAATTTAATATGCAGCTTCCATTCATATGCCTAAAATTTCCTAACTCTTCTGTAATTCTGACCTATACACCCTGGGGTTTTTGTTTGTTCGTTTTTTGTTTTTTTTTTTTTTTTTTTTTTTTTTTTTTTTGGTCTTTTTGAGACAGGATTTCCCTGTAGCCCCAGCTAGCTGGAATTTGCTATGTAGACCAGGCTGTCCTTGAACTCAGAGATCAGCCTGCCTCTACCTCCCAAGTGCTGGGATTAAAGGAGTGCATCACCATGCCTGGCGACCCCCTGGTGTTTTTAATTGCCAAATATCATTTAGGCTTAAAGAATGATGAATGGGATTTACACATTCTTTCTTTACTTTTACCAGAAAAAAATGCAAATAGCTTTACTTTAAAGACATCATTTTAGACTTAGCTAAATTTTAATTATATGATGACTGAACCAATATATTCATTACTTCCTAAAAGTTTCATGAACATATAAGAACACTTATCCTTTCTCTTCTTTTCTGTTGTTTTATTTGTTTATTTTAAAAATATGGAACACTTCACAACTTTGCATGTCATCCTTGCACAGAGACCATGCTAATCTCTCTGTAGCGTTCCAGTGTTAGTGTATGTGCTGCCAAAGTGAGCACTCATTTTATTTTTTGAGACAAGATTTCACTGTGTACTCCTGGCCCAGCCTTGAACTTGTGGTGATCCTCCTGCCTCTGCCTCTCTACCTCTCTCTGTCCCCCTCTGCCCCCTCTCTCTGTATGTCTCTCTCTCTCTCTGCCCCTCTCTGCCCCCTCTCTATATCCCCCTCTCTCTGTCCCCTCTCTATATCCCTCTCTCTCTGCCTCTCTGCCTCTTTTTCTGCCTCTACTGGTGTTGCAGGAATGTGCCACTATGCCTCACCTGACCCCTTTTCTTGATAACATTGTCAAATACTGTCAAATGTTGAAGAATTTTCTATAGTAGGAGAGCCCAGGCTTGCTTCCAGTGCATGCGATAGTCTCCAATAACTCTGATGTAACAATGGCCCCTTGAAGAAATGTTTCCTGAGAGGGTTTTAAGGAAAGCTTGACCAGAGTGCTACAGCTATTGTGAGTTACTCATGTCTGGGTACCTTTGGTGTATTTACAATACAACTTTAAACAGCATTCCCTTCTTCAGTGAGACAGAAAGTATGACTTTTGGTCAAAACTAATGAATTGAAAATCTATTTGACAACTCTAAATAAAAAGATGGGAAAGCTGATGAGAAAGAGAGGGAGGGAGGGAAGGAGGGAGGGAAGAAAGGAGGGAAGGAGGGATGGCGGACTAACTACATACACACACACACACACACATACTCTGTTGATCTAGACAAAAATATTCTCATTTTGAAAACATAACACTTCACATTCATGGCTAGGATACTGTAAAATACATATATATTTATGAACCCACTTTATAATCCCACTGAGAAAAATATAACAAATTTGCTTTATTAGATGGAAAATATTCCACATTAATCTTTCAATTAGACAAATTTTGTTTCCCCAAAACTTCCATTTTCATTCATACTGGTATAGAATTCATCAAAACAATATTGTTTGTTATGGATCAGTGAGATTAATCTGAGAAGTCCTTGCTTACTAAAATAAATGTTGGGTTAAAAATAGCTTTGCAAAAATCTTTAATGTGCCACTGAAGAACACATTGTTTTAGTACATGACTGAATTTAGTCTTCTCAACTGGTAATGTAATTCCAATTTACCCTGGATCCATTAACTGAGAGACAGTGTGGTGCAAAGAAGAGAAAAAGGAAAAGAAAAACACAGTTGTTTATTATTATTATTATTATTATTATTATTATTATTATTATTCAGATGATGTAACCTATGAGTTCAGGCTCTGCCACTTGGTTAATGTAAGATATCTCAGGCCAGTTACTTTTTCTCTGAGTCTCAGCTTCCTCACTTATAAAATAGACATCACATCACCACTGCCATAACCCAGGATTGCTGTGAGGTTGCTAAGAGAATATGTTAAATCTTTATACAGATATTTTAGATACCCACTTACTCCATAACCAATAACTATATTGCAATCATAATTTTTAATAGAACAAAACCATTAAAGAATTAAACAAGTATCCATTACCAACACACAAATAAAATACAGTCATAAAGGCCACCTCGTTGAATTTGGCATTGTTCCTTTTGGTTCCTTAGAATTGAGAGATAGCAAGGAGATAATGTCACCATTTCTTTAACATACACATTTTGTTAGCACACAGAAGTTCTTCACAGATACAATCATTCTAGTAGCATAAGAAAGTTCAGTATTTTTCACTGCCAGAAATCTAAACCAATATTATCAGGTCACGAGCAACCTTTATGCACTAAACAAAGAAATGCTTTCTATGAGAATATATCTATTTAGTTTTATAGTGGACAAAATGAGATGTCTCTGGATTTTACCAGCTGACAATAACCTCACAACTTGTCACATTAAAATGTACAGAGATAGCTCTTCTAGAGTCACACATGCCTTGATATATGGAGGAAACACCTAGAGAGTACAACTTTCCAACACTTAGAGAAGTAATCCAACCAATATCCAAAAAAACCCAAAGCTATAAATTCACAGAAATGGGCTGTAGAGAGATGACATAACCTGCTGCTGCTTTAATTGCAGACAATTCAATTCAGCATCTGTTGGTCCAGGCACTAAGGTTCACTAAACACTCTTCAATGCAACCTTGAAATACTGTCACTCACTCCCTTCTCCACATCATCTGCATGCTGTCCAATTAATGAGGAGTGACATCAACTGTCAAACGACGCATCAAAACAAAATATGATCTTCTAGCTAAGCACAGTATTTTAAGAATAAAGCAAGGACGTAATGAAAGTCCTTGTCAATACATGATATTCAAAGTTATCAAAAACATGTGGTCAGAGGAACTAAAGCTTCTGGTCTGTTCAGCAGGAAAGTGAAACTTTCTTACGGTTTCTCATTTGCTAGAGTCCCATCTTGTCTAACAGCTGTGTGACAAGCCTTTCAAACAATATGCACAAATATCTGATCAGAGATCAAGTTTTTCATTGTTATGGACCAAGATTTTTTTCTGAAAGCTTAAGGAAATACTTAAGGAACATTTCAGATCTGAGGATTTTTATAATACAGAAGGCTTTTTGGATGGCATTTTTAGACTCGTTCTTCCAGCACTTTTTCTAACAGGAGAATAAACAACAATAATACAGAATATTCATCAACCTGAGTCCAATACTGAAAGGAAAATAAATTTATCTAAAGGATGTGCTCTGGAATGTTTCCAATTTGAAGTTTTCTCCTAACTACAAAAAAAAAAAATCTATACAACTCATTAACAAATACAGGAGCTTAAAAACTCAAGAGAAAACATACTGAGAGTTTAAAAACTACTATTTGTTTCCAAACAGTGTCTTGTGTGTAAACACTGTAGGTTTTATCATATACTACCAGTTGCAGACATAAGACGTGAGAAATTCAATACAAGAACACAGCAGAGAAGCGTGCACGATGAAGGGATCAGGACTGCCAATTTAACAGAAAGCCCAGATTTCACACAGTAATCTGCTACAATAGAGCTAGGGACAGGCGTGTTTTATACAGTTATTTTGTTTAGCTCATTAGAATCTTATTTGTCCTTCAGTACAGTTAGACTGAGGTGAAATAAGAGAGAAAAATACACTTTGAAACAAAAGGTAAATTTCAGAGAAAATAAAACATACTATACCTGTATATTGTACCAGGAACATTGTGACACTCTTCGGGGAACTGTTTCACGTTGTATCCTACCGTGAGTTGTTCCTTCCTTACCCTCTTCTCTCCACAAAAAGAAAAGCCAAAGCACTTCAAGCCCCCACTACACACTATCCCTAACCCACCCCCCCATTGAGGAAAAAACAACAACAACAACAACAGCCACTATTCGGCTCAGATCCGATGCTTCTGTTTAGCTCAGCTCCAGCCGAGCAACTGAGCTCTAGCAACGGAGCATGGGGAGGTGGATTCTGATGCCAGTAGCACTTCCATCCACTTCACTTACACAAAAGCAGGCAGTGGAAGATCCAGGAGCCTTGAAGACAAGGGCTGGAACTGGCTTTTATGAATTGCTATTACTGCATGTGTCACCATCCATCTCCAATGACGGACACTTATAGGCTGAATTGGGAGTGGAGGGGGTGGGGTGGAGGAGGTTGGAGAGCAGGTGGAGAAGCAATTAGCAGTATGTTCATTGGAGAATTCGTTCGGGATTTCATACATCAGTGCCTAAAGAAACAGCATGCAGTTGACAAATCAGAACTTTACGATTTGCATGCCTTAGAAGAAATCGTAGCTCACAGGTTAAAACAAAATAGCACTTGCCCACTCTTTCAGGGCACAGAAAGCCACCCCTCCACTTTCTCTTTGCTCTAGCTACCCTTGTTCCTGAGAAATCAACATTCTGAATGAATATTTGCTAATTTTCCCCGAAGAATTGTGTTTAAAAGGCCAGGAGCAGAGGAAGTATAAAGAAATTAAATTCTATTGAACATGACATCTCTTAACAAAAATGCAAGAAGCTAATTATTTTAAGCCAACTTTTCATCCCTACTCCCATTCCCCAGGTGCAGCTTTCACGCCTATAATCAGTGGATCATACAACTTTTGTGCATATATTTAACACTGACAAAAACCTATGTCTATCTAAAAATAATCCATTTAAAGTCAAGCTGAAAAACCAAGAGCTATGCGCAGGACTCATTTGCTAAGTGACCTTAAGAAATCTCTTTATCTGAAAGTGGTTCAGTTTTACTCATCTGTTAAAGAAAAGCACATTTCTTTGGACTATGATTTTTTTTAAAATCAACCATGAATGGAAAGAATAGTTTCTTAAAGAGACAACATGGAACAATTGAAGGAACACTGACTGTAGGTATCAGGACACCTAGGTCCCATTTCTACACCTTTCTAGCTGTGTGAGCCCAGATGAGTAACAACTTCTCTGAGCCTAAGCGCTCTTATTTATAGATGGGGACAATGGTACCTATGTTGACTGTTTCACAGAAGTGCTGTGCAAAAGCTAATGAGATAATGGATAAATTTTGTGAATTGTAAAGGGAAAGACAGTTCTATGGGGTAATTATTACTACATTCTGAAACAACTCCTGCTTCAATGACTGAAGTGAGGCACCTGTCTCACATTTGGCAAATAAAAAAAAGACCAATATAACTTTACAAAATATTGTTTAAATTTTTCAAATTTAAAATTATAAAGAATCGCTGTTTTTTAAATCCCCAGAAAGGGAATTTTTTTAAAAAATATATTTTTAAAATGTGATCCACAGTATATCAGAGGCTTGTGAAAGAAACTGGAGCCCCTAATTCTTCCTTTCCTTTCTGGAAAGTTGGTTCACTTTTCTTTATAGGGTTTGAGTTTATGTCCCATCTAAAATGATAACTACTAGAAAATGAACATCTCCTTTTGTTAAATCTTTCTATTTATCTGGCTTATCCTCTCTGCCCAGAGTGTTAGGAAGATTTGCATTAATTCATAAATCTAAATCCAAAGTAAAAATCCAAAGTCATGCTTTCTGAGGCTCCAAGCTGCCTTGATACTATATATACAGTGATCAGCTGGT